TTTCAACTGATTTTTATAGTTTGTTCTTATGTTGTACTTTTGCATCACTGTCCCAGGTTAGGGGAGGGTTGGGCGCCCGCTAACATGTTTAAAAAGTAAAATAACAAAAATGCCGAACTTCAAGGGAAATTCAAAACGGAAAGTCCCTTATAAAATGGCAAAGTCAAAAGCTCAAACACATCTAACGAATGGAAAACAACTGTCATATTCCTGACTTGGTACAGACTTCAAATAATATTGTCTTTGTATGAAAATCGTACTACTACGAGTGTCTTGTAAAAGAATTAGGAATAAATGAGCTCTTAGGTAATCACACATACAAAAACATATCATTCGACAAGGATGAGATTTTGGTGAATCATAATTAGTCCTTCATGGCTTCATTGAACATTACATTGAACAGCAAATCTGATGACCTACCTTACCTAAGCTTCACAAAATTCCGTACAAACAACGGTACATTTCCGGCTCATCTGCATGTTTTAGAAAGGAATTGTGCATTAGATTGACAAAATTTCTGTCCGCAGTGAAAGAAGGTCTTCAGAAATACTGTGAAACTGTTTACTCGCGTAGTGGTATCAACAATATGTGGATTCTAAAAAATTCTAAAGAACTTCTGGATAATTTTAAATCTCGATCTTTCTCTGAATTTAATTCTATCAAAACTTTTGATTTTTTTAACCCTGTATACTACTATTACCCATGTGAAATTGAAAAAATCGTCTAAAAGAAATAATCCACAATGCTTTTCAATATAACAATGGTAGCATACGCTATAAATTTGTTACTTTGTGATACCATAAGGCATATTTTGTTAATAATGAACAAAAAGCTAAAACATGCTACACAGAGGAACAAGTGATCAGTACGCTGGAGTTTCTTATTGACAACATATTTGTTGAATTTGGAGGTAGACTTTTTCAACAAATTGTCGTCATTCCTATGGGAACGAACTGTGCACCTCTCCTTGCCGACCTCTTCTTATTTTTATATGAGTCGGGGTTCCTTCCGACACTTACCAAAAACTAAAAGATCAAAGAAGCCAGATAATTTAATTTCACATTCAGATTTTTGATGATGTTCTTTCCATAAACAATCCAAACTATTCTGGTTGGGTTCCATTAATATATCTTCCAGAACTGGAAATTAAAGAAACAACAGACACGGATTCCTCCGTCTCTTTTTTAGACTTATACGTCGAATTTGACATAAACGGTCATCTCACTACCAGAATCTATGACAAACGAGACGATTTTAATTTTGAAATTATCAATTTCTCCCACCTTAGTAGCAATATATCAACTTCACCTGCATATGGGATATTCATTTACCACTTCATCCGGTATTCAAGAACTTGTAGCTGCTACTCAGACTCTATAAGTCACCAGCGTCTGAGCAGAAAGTTGATGAACCAGGATTATGTCAAAGAACGTCTCGTCCTTTTTCTAAAAAAGTTCATCGGAAGATACCAAGACCTTGTTGATAAATATTCCGTATCAACTTCACAAATACTACATGTCGGTCTTGATGATTCTAGGTACTGACGTTGTTTATCATCTTAAATACGTGTTATAGTGTTCTTTTGTTTGTCTTTGTAAATTATTAACGTTTACTGTTTGGTCCGTTTTTGGAAATATCCTTTAGGCGTTGCTCGGTACTTGTACATCCCGCAATTGTGTTGTTGTGCTGTGGTCATTTTTTGTATTCTTGTGTTTCATTTTTGCGTATGTGCTCTGTCTATATGCCATTTTGTTTTTCTTTGTTGACATATTTGTTTGTTTTACGGTGATTGAGATTATAACACAATGTTGACTGCTGTACTTCTATTTTTGACATTTTTATCTCTTGTGTCTGTTTGTTTTGTTCACACATTGTTGTCAATATAATGGAATTTTATGCGACTGTCATACAAGTGAGAGGTTTAGCTAGCTTTAAAACAAGGTTTAATCCACCATTTTCTACATACGAAAATGTCTGTACCAAGTCAGGAATATGACAGTTGTTTTCTATTCGTTTGAGGTGTTTGAGCTTTTGATTTTGCCAATTGTTAAGGGACATTACTTTTTGAATTTTCCTTGGAGTTTGGTATTTTTGTTGTCTTACTTTTTCTTAATATGTAGAAAATTGTTTAACCCTGCCACATTCTGTATGTGCCTGTCCCAAGTCAGGAGCCTATAATTCAGTGGTTGTCGATTGTTTCTGTGTATCATATTTGGATTTCGTTCATTATTTTGTACATGAATTAGGCCGTTAGTTTTCTCATTTGAATTTTTTTACATTTGTCATTTCGGGGCTTTTTATAGCTGACAATGCGGTATGGGTTTTGCTCATTGATGAAGGCCAAACGGTGACCTATAGTTGTTAATTTCCGTGTCATTTGGTCTCGTGTGGCGTGTTGGCTCGTTGGCAATTATACCACATATTCTTATTTTATAGTTGTAATATACTGACTTCAAAAAGGTATATGAACAGAGGATAACAAACGATCTATATAGACACCAATGTGAACTGCAGTTTGAGTAAATTTCGATAATTGTGTCGAACAAAAGTGTTAATAATTCTAATCACTAAACTTGGACTACACAATCAGAATTTACGTGCGTCAATTTAAGTACAGTTATCATGCACCTAGCTAGTTCACCTATTCTAGGAAACCATACTCGACAAATGCATTAAGTACAATGATGATACAGAATAATTAGTGCAGCGTATTTACACATTTTGTTTCTGATGAAGGTAAAATCCGAAAAGCGCGTCGGACGCACGGAATTTGTAAAGTGTTTTTACATTTAAGAATTGAATGCTTCTTTTGTAAATTCATTGGGATATAAAAGCGTTGACCGAAGTACATTTTGTATGAAGCGCGGAAGCGCTTTATTGTAAAAATGTACGCACGTTCAACGCTTTTACAACCCTATGAAATTACTAAAAGAAGCATTCTATACTTATAATTACATTTTTTCGCTATGATCATGAAAACACGATTACTATCAAGTTTTTCTTTTATTTACCTGTGCACTTTATTGTGGAAACGTGTGTCATCATGTATGTTTCAATTCATGCAATTCATTTTGAAATGAAGAATGACGCGAGATTGCTGTTAGCCAATCAAAATAACGTATAATAATGAAACATACATCTAATGTAATTATTAACATACTAGTATTACATCAAGTCAATATCAAAATGCTGTTAAGTGAGTTGTGTATAATGATTTGTTAGAATCGACAAGAAATAAAGAAGACTATTATTTATCTAGTTGCTTCACATCCAACGGTAACTTTTAACATGCTTACTAAGGACGATTGCATATTAATGAGATGCAAAAGTACAATGCACCTTAAACCGGGTTAGCCTACTTGCTGTCTTGATTAACCTTCAAAATAAGATATGTCACTTTGTGTCAAATTGTGTTTTACACTAATTTCATATGTCTGCTTTACCCTTAATTGTTGCATGCAGACAGAGAAGGGTGAATTTTTCAAGCTGGCGATAAGGAACGAAAATGTCCCCAATCATCGTGTGTACCTTATAATTTGTTTATGTTTTTTTCGGTAACAACACAAGCTACATCAGTGTCAAAATGCTAAAAAATAATCAATATCAATTATTATGAGGAGTTAGAAGTGTGAAGAAATTCTAATGCGAAATTTAGTCCAAATGGTAACCACTTCTTTCTACTTTTGTTATCAATTACAACAGCAGCACCAGTAGGTGTATTCCTGTCGCGAAGTGTTGTCATTTTGACGATATTTCTTAACATTGCAATATAAGCGGGAGGTTTGGCTAGCAATAAAACCAGGTTCAACCCACCATTTTTTCTTAAAATATCCTGTACCAAGTCAGGAATATGGCAGTTGTTATCAAATAGTCCGTGTCTATGTATGTTGGCGTTTGTTTTTGGTTGCAGTTCAGTGTTCCTGTTGTTCCATAATTTTCCTCTTCTAGTTGATGTGTTTCCCTCGGTTTAAGTTTGTAACACGGATTTGATTTCTCTTAATCGATTGATGACTTTTGAACAGCGGTATACTACTGTTGCCTTTCTTTGTATAGGGATTTTAATAAGACAAATAGTTTAAGATAAATCAAATGAAATTTAGAAAATAAAACCAATGCGATATACGTAATTTTCATTACGACTTATGTCCAATATAACAAATATTTTTATATTTCATTTAAGACAAGTTTTTAAAATCTATACTTTCAATATCATGCACTTTATAGCTACTCTTTTTTTTCCAAAACACAACCTCTAAAAAAATGTTTAAAAAATATGTACATAGTTTTTGGTTCGGTTGTCGGTTGTAATCAAACTAGACGTTGAACATAATTTTTAACAATTTATAAAAAAAATTCCGCTTACATGTAAGAATCCCCTTTTTAAATGTATACTGCTATCTCTGGTGGCCAAATCTAACAACAGAGTGGCAGCATACGCGTTGTATTATTCCCAAAAAGATATAAATTGTAAGCCGCTTTGCTTTATTGATATCAATTCTTTTGTAACTCCCCAAAACAAAATAAACGCTAAACAATTCTTCGCCGATGCTCAATATTCGGAAATCCATTTGGAATATATTAACCAAGAGGATATGGTTGCATGCAATCTAAACGCAAGTGCGACTGGGCGCAACGACAGGATAAGGGTCTAGGGTATGCATGCATCACTCGCCATACGAATCCAGACTCTGTCAGATATTTCACGATATGAAAAAAACACAATCCCATCTTATAAGTGAATTTTCAAACCTGACGACTATTTCGGTGTAATTAGACACAAGATCGAAAAAAAACTCATTCCTCTTGAGTCGAGATACAGACACATACGTCATGTAGTAGCGGTCAACCAATTCCTGATGGTGTTCATAAAGCTTATGTAGTGTTGATTTTAGTCGTTACTCCCAATGATCTTGCTGGAGATGCTTTTTGTGATGGAAGCACATCAATGTTAATGTTATAAAGAACTTTAGGATACGAGTTTGCATTAAAAACAGGTCCGATAATAGTTCCAACACCAAATCGTATAAGCTCTAGTTCAGTAAGCTTAAAGTTTTACTAATATGATTTTTACATATGATTTCCTATGATTAATTTGAGATGACCGTATGAATGCTTTAATTGATTAATGATTTATGACAGACAATAATAAAAGTATTGTTCTGTTTTGCAAGAGAGAAATATAATGGGCACACACACAAACACTTGATGAACTGCCAGTGTGCTGTTTATATACGGCAACTTCTATATGTTTGATACTCCTAGAAAACCATTTTTTTCAATTACTACGAAATGAGAAAAATGTCTTTGCTAATGCAATATCATTTCGAATCTGCTTTGAATAAGGTCTTTTATGCCTGCAATCAAATATCCAGATAAATGTCCAGGGCATTCAAGAGTATATTTAGACGTTCAACACACTAAAATGATTTAAGGTAACATAGTATGCATTTGCTAGAGTCTTGTTTGGTACGAGTCCGTTTGAACTGTAACCGGGAAAACAAAATATTTTCGACGGAAGCGTTTAAATGTAAGTAAGGCTCTTACTTCGTGTCGGAAATAAGCTCCAAGTGTTAAATATAGAAAGACGTTGATGCAGTAATTCATATAAAATATAGTTCTTACGAAATAAAGCACTCCTTGCCAGTATTTTAAATTGACAGCTGAAGAGCTAACAACAGAATTAAACAAATATTTTGATAAAAGAAAGTTACGAAACCATAAGATAAAATATGGAATATTTAAAAGAATAAAGCATATTGATAATGCAAGGTGAATTACAGTGAATTCTAGTCGAATAACACTCACTTCAGTTACGATTTGTCTGCATATCTCGTTTTTTCTTTGTTTCATAAGCTTTCGAATTATCAACATATTGAGAATGGTGATTACAACAAAAGGAACAAATGTGATAAACACTGCATAAATAGAATCACAAGAGAAAGATAGTAAACCATATTGAGGCAAGCTTGTACAATATAGCGTGCCAGTTGCTCCTGTGTAAATACCACTCAATGCAGGTTTATACAGAACAGTTGTGCACGAAACTAGAATTACTCCAGAAATCACTTTCATCGTGCTTCTCCTCGTACAAATGTTTCTCCGTACTAACGGATGGCAAATGGAAACATATCTTTCTATAGTGAAAGATACTACAAGCCATGCTGATACAAATCTAGACGCATATGATATGTAAAGCTGGAACTGACAAAGTCCCTCAACGTCAAGAATTTTTACGTTTGTTGCCGGAAATAGATATGTCAATCCTCTTCTTATCCATTCCACGGATACATAAAATATAATAGTAATCAGATCAGATACGGACAAGGCTGCCAAATATGTGCTTGCCGATAGCGACCGCAGATTTTGCGATAGAAACACATGCAATGATAAAAGATTTCCAACTACCCCTATAATGATTATAATTGGAGTGAAATAAGCGAAGAAAGTTCTTCCAATTTTGTATATGTTGTTGGTATCCTCTCTTGGGAATGTATTAAGTTGTAAACATCCCGTTATGTTTGTCTCGTTTTTCAGTATCATAAGTAAGCGTTCGTATAAGGCTTCTCTCATGCATGTTACAGCCTTCATAATTTTCTGCAAAAAAATGAATAAATCATTTGAAAAATCAGACATAGAACAAGGTGAAGATTTTAGTTACATAGTAGAAAAACAAAGGATACGAGGTATCCATTCATGACACAAAATCAGTACATGCACAGCAAAAAACACACAAAATGAAAAGGAACAGCGTTTTTATTGATGTTCTTCATCTCAAAGTCATAGTGAGGCCTTCAACACGGAACAAAAACAAAAAAAAAAAAAACCTCTCACCTCACTTTTTTTGGTTTTTGATGCTGACTTTTATCAGCAAATTATCAAGCGAACCCGCTAGGTCGAGCTGATATTCGATCTGATAAAGTCAGCATAAAAAAATTAAATGACATTATTATTTTTATCGGCAATTTGTCTTAAAAATATGTTGTTTTTGTTAAGAATATGAAATAGATTGAAAGAGTTAGTAAAAGTACTTGTACGCGTATAAAACGTTGTGATAGTTGTTTGGTTGTATGAATAAATTCGCGTGCATTACATTAATAAATTGACGCGGATGGACATGAGTACCTAACGTCATTGCCAAATATTTTAGAGTATCAAACCCTGTTAATGATCTTAACAAATATTAGGTAGTTGGATCAATGGAAAATGTATAAATTGCTGATAATAACATACATTGAATAGATAACATAAACCGGAAGTAAGCAAAAAAAAAAAATTAACAACAAGGTTTATCAACGTCCAGATGTAAAATCGATGTCGATACTGCTTCGGAAACATATACATTGTATATTGATATAAAAGGCATCCACAATCTTAATTAATTTTCCTGTGCAATCATTCCGGTTCAAAATACCTTTTTCACTTTTTGAAAAGCTTACCTCTAGTTGTATTTGATACGAGTGGACACAATATTTGCCCAGGATTAAAGTTAACATCTAAAACTAAGATGTTTTATAGCTGATTATGCATGTAATATTTGTCCCTTTGAATTTTAGCATCAATTAACAGTGGGACTACTAACATAACAATGTTGGAGCAAAAGAAAGTAATTTACAGGGACGTCGGTATAACATGTATAACGATTGCAGTTATCGTCCGTTGGCCGGTGAAATGGTCTGACATATACGTCATTTGGTCTCTGATGGATAGTTGTCTCATTGCCAATCAAACCACATATTGGCTTCTATTTTTTATATTGTTCAATGACAACGTTGAGGAAAAGGGTATTAACAAAGATATTGAACTCCAAGGCAAATTCAAAAAGGGGGAAGCCCACAAAACCCGACAAAATATAACGCTCGACTTTATCAACCACCGGAACGAATGGAAAACAACTGTCATAATCCTTACTTGGTACAGGTATTTTCCGAAGAAAATGGTGTGTTAAACCTGGTTTTGTAGCTAGCTATATCTCTCACTTGTATGACAGTTGTTTACAGATAATCCGTTATATTGACAACATTAGGTGAGCAACCCAAACAGAAAAAATGGCCAACGTGACAATAACTGTAACCTTACAGCCACAACTGCGCAAACATACATCACAGACACACAACACAGCTGACAACAAGATCAAACAAACACACAAACAAATCTAACAAAGACGCAAAAGAAAAACGTGTGTGTAGTTGATAGTACATATAGTTGATAGTACATACAGTAAAGTAAACATAATAAATATACTGTTGACACATGCAGAGATACAAATGTATGTCTCGCCTGTCGGCATAAAATTCAGAAAAAGACAATCTGATGGACAGCAACATTGTTTATTAATTCAAAGTCACTGGACTATGATCTAGTTGGCAGGGCTTCGTAATGGTCGACAAGCAGATAAAGAGACAGTAATGTACCTTTATAGAAATATATCATTGTCTATTGTAAGTAGTTCCTATAAATCTAACTTAAACAGAAAACTTAACATTTAATATTGCTAATTAATTCAAAGTCACTGGAACATGTCCTAAAAGGCAGAGCCTCAAAATAGTCGTCAAACTAATATGAAATGATAGTAATGCAACTCCATACAAAAGATCATTGATTTATCATAAGTAGATCCTATCAAACTAACTTAAGCAGAAAACTTAACATTAAAAATTGCTTATTGATATGTACTGATAGTAATGCAACTTTATGTTAAATATCAATGATACATCACAAGTAGTTCCTATCAAACTAACTTCAGCAGAAAACTTAACAGTTGTTGACGCAAACATCGTCATCGTCGTCGACACTGGAAAAGCAATCCCTATGTCTCACTTTCTGCGACTTTCGTCGCAGGCTAGCCAATAAAAAACTTATGCGTCGGAATCGCACCTCTGAACAAACCCACATCACGAACGCCCAAAACCAAAATCCCGAAAGCTGGATATACAATTCACGAATAAGGGACTGTTCAATATTTACCAGATGGATGGGCCGGTGCATTCTTTATATTATTTCATTAAAAAAGTTAATGCCCAACCTTTTAAATTCTGCAAAAAAGTCCTTGCCCATCTAAAAAAAAACCTAAAAAGAGTCCTCGCCCCTCTAAAACTTAAAGACAATCAAAAATGATTTAGGTTTTTTTTCTATTTCAATATTTGCATGTTTATGTCTGGAAATCAAAGAATAGACTTTGGTGTATAAATACAAAATTCAAAATGTGCTAGTTAATTCCACACATATATATATATATATATTTATGTGTGTATCAGAAACATACATTTTATTAATTTTAAAACCAGTATGAATATACATGTATCGATTTGATTTTATATGTGCAGCCTCAGATACAATATCACAAATAAATCTCAAGATATAAGTAATAGCATACTATATCAGCCAGCCTTTCATAGAGGCTTAAGAAGTGCTAACAATATTCATGCAAGTCATAAAACATATGAAGAAATATTAACCATACTATTAAATGTATTTAGTTTATATTTTTCTGAAATCTGAGGTCATCTTAAATTTGAAACAGTTTAATGTATCTCTTCTTACGTATTCAATGTTCTATTAAATAATTGGGGGTCACCACTTTTTTCCCCTTTTGTGACCATAGGACATAATGATTTATTCAAACTATTGTTAACAATAAAAAAAAATATTAACTAACTATCCAATTTGTATACAATTTTCAAAATACCATATTAATTTAAAATAAAGGGAATAATTTAAATTAAGGGACAATAACTCTTAGACTAGTAAACATATTACCATATGCTGAATTACCAATTGTTGTCTTAATAATAGAGCATGCTTATATTTCAAATATACAATGTCCATTTATCTTTTCTACTTTTCAAGAAAGAAATTATGGTCTTTTTAAAGCAATTTAGGCAGACATGTTTTTGACTTTGATGCAGCTTTTTTTACCTATTAATTAAATCCCAAAGGCGGATTTAGGGGGGGGGGGGGGCAGGGGTCACGGGTCCTCCTTTTTGTGGGAAAAATGTAGTTGCTTATATAGGAAATCACTGAAGCATGACTGGAACAGGCCCCCTCATAGGCAGTCAGTGGGCCCCTTCTTATGAAAATTTATGGATCCGCCACTGAATTCCTAAATTTGTCAGCAATACATCAAACTACCAAACAACCTGGCATTCTGTAAGATCAACATATAAATGAGATAGCTGTAGAGTTATATGAAAATCTAAGTTGATTTAAAAGAGTTATAAAAAAATTTAAAGGTGACTATCTGAATTTAGCCAAAACTGAAAATTGTAGCTTTTTTTAACCTTTTAACTAAATCCATAAAAATGACAGCAATAAACCAAAGTACCAAACAACCTGGCATTCTGTAAGATCAATATTTTTAATGAGATAGCTGTAGAGTTATATGAAAATCCAAGTTGATTTGAAAATGTTATAAATTTTTTTAAAGATGACCATCTGGTATTAACCTAAACTGAAAAATTAAGCTTTTTTTTTAACCTATTTATTAAATCAATAAAAATGACAGCAATACACTAAACTCCCAAACAACCTAGCATTCTGTAAGATCAATATATGAATAAGATAGGTGTAGAGTTTTATGAAAATCCAAGTTGAATTGAAAAAGTTATAAAACATTTTAAAGGTGACTATCTGAATTAAACCTTAACCGAAAATTTTAGCTTTTTTTTCTTACTTATTAATTAAATCCATAAAATTGACTTCAATACACTAAACTATCAAACAACCTGGTATTCTATAAGGTCAAAATACAATTGATATGAAAATCCAAGTGGTTTAGAAAATTTATATAAACTTTTAAAAGTGACTATCTGAAATTAGTTCGAATAGAAAATTCTAGCTTTTGTATTCTTTAATTAAATCCCTAAAATTGACAGAAACCAAGCTACCAGTTTGTTGAGACCATGTCTTTTATGTTTTGTGTGCCTGCAAAAGAGATTTCCTACACACCGATAAAATTGATAGCAAAATTTTCCCTATAAAATAAGTTCTGGCCCATCCACTATACATGTAAAAAAAGTTCTCGCCCATCCAAATATTTCCACAAAAAAGGTGCTTGCCCCGCCCAATTTTGCACCGGTCCATCCATCTGATAAATATTGAACGGTCCCTAACGACAATAGCATGTAACGTATTAGAAACTAATGTCGCCAGCGTGTCACAACACCATCATACGGCTTGAATAAATGGATTAAAGATACAAATGTAATTTACCTAAACATGAAGTAATAAAGAAACAGAAAACATTTATATGATTTACGTTTAGTTGGTTAAAAGACACTTTTTGTCATTTACCAGGCTAATCTGTACATGATTGGTGATTATCAGCACATACATTTACATACTTATACAGCATCAAAAACAGATGTAAAATTGAGGCAGACATTAGAATAAAATAGACGCGTCATTTAGAGATATCCTGGAATTACAATAATTTTTATGAACGAACTTTTTCAGCAAATTCTTTTATCATAATTTCACTTGAAAATAGCAACTATAATTATAGAACGTAACATTTACCACGACAGTAAAAAGAAATCGTCAAAAGAATGAGAATTTGTCATGAACTGTAGTGAATATTGTTGGTTTTTATTT